ATCCATAGGTTGGCTGGCATTGAACGCTATCTGACATAGCAGCTGAATTGACCGTTTGTAGCCTGCCACACGTCCCATCAATCACTCGGGAACTTGACTTTGGAAAGATCTTTGTACAAAAGATCTTTGTAGAGGCAAGGTGTGGCAGGTGAAGTGTTGCAGCGTTGTAGAAGCGGAGTGCGGGCCTTTGCATCCACTGAGTACTTGTAGATGAGTCCGGTTCATTCGCTGACGCGTGTTCAGTTCGTTCCTCATGCAATCACCCCGGCATGTACAATCAGCTCGTCCCCACAAAGTCCTAAGCACAATATAAATATTAAACTCAAGTTCGGGAAACTATATTAACTAACACTTCTCACATGCATACCACGTAAAAGTCACGTCAAACTTATAGTTTATATGTCGCATACTAGCCACATCGTTATGGACAACCTACGATTTTGCAAACCAAAATTGCCCCATCGAAGTTGCTTCAACGAGGACGAAGCTACAAGCCCGCCTCCACCGAGGAATGCTAAGGTGGTTCGTAACTAAGCGAACCTCTTCCATAGTGAAAGAAAGTTAAGATTGGCCTCGTCATCCCCTTAAGCAAGATAAATGACAAATCTATTTATCTTGGAAAAATTGTCTAAAACTAAGGAAGGTTGATGAAGCAAAGAGCATGTGACCCCACATCCCTTGTCAGAAAGGCATCACAAAAAAATATTTTTATCTCACGTGACAAAGGGATGCACATGAACGTTAAAAATTGATAGAAAAATAGCACATGTAGGGCCTAAAGTATAGGTCGCTTTGCAGCAGTCACAACATTACTAGAGATCAATTCCATCTCCAATCTCTAATAGTTCAAGCCTTCAAAGACGGTTAATACTAATACACTCTCAATAAAAGGCAACATGTTGTCCTTGAATAGATTTTGTTGTAGCAAATATCGTCTTTCTGACAAGATCTCTACAAATAATCCGAATACCACATTGCTTGTGACCTTCTTTAATCGTGATATTGACATTTATCTCTAGTTTGGCAGAATTATTTTTTGCTAAAAAATTGATCAAATTTGTCAAACTCCATTTTTATTAAGAGTTTCATTTCATCCACAATTTTAACTTTTTATTCATTTTTTAGAATAATGCCCATTTTTCACGGGTCCTTAAAAGCCTCACAAAGGGGCGAGTCCCACATGCGTGTGTATATATAATTGGGTCATGCTATATGTACATAGGGAATGACATAATGTGAGTGTGGGTGGAACCTGCACTACAGTAGCACGGACCCCACCCCACTCAGATTATGTCATCCCTTATGAATTAATCTACATGAAACATACACTTACGCGGTGTGTATGATCCTGTACTTCAAGCATTGTTCCAATGTTCCATTTTTAAACCCTTTTTTTCCCCATGAAACCCACCAACTTACCAACTTTATTAGTTAAAAATCTACATGAAACATACACTTACGCGGTACCTAGATCTTAGGCGGAGCTCAGGAGCGGGGAGGTGAAAAAACGAGAAATAAAAATGGTGAAGGGAAGTAAATTGCTACTGAAAGGCGTCGGAATCGGAATAAGCAACAGTCTTGCTGAAATACTAGTGTGTCCACTTTCCAAACAACCCCTTAGGCTGTGTGAGAAAACGAATGCCCTAATTAGCGATTCCATTGGGGTTTCGTATCCGATTGTTAATGGGATTCCTCGACTTGTGCCAATGGATGGAAAGATAATTGATTCCTATGAAAGATCCAATTCCGAAGAACCGGTGGATTCACCCAATTCAAAAACTGAAAGGTAGACATCGAACATGAGTCAATCTATTGAAATTAGGAGGTAAGGTTTTGGTACGAGGGAATGGGGATTTAAATTCCCAATTTGATTATCAATTCCATGTTTATTGTTATGTTTTATTCTGGTGATCACCGGATGTTTAATGATTATCCAGATTTATGCTCTATGAATTGCCTTGTCATTCTTCCTCTCTGGCAGATTTAAATACAATTTTGCAAATTAATTCGTTTTCCGCCTATTTCCCCTTGGTTGCTTAAGTTTATCATTTCTGAAACAATCTCGATTTAGGTAAGAAATTTGTTCAGTGTTAAGGGCATTGAGGTACCAGCTTGTGAGAATATGTTAAAAACGAATCTAATATAGCTTAAATAGAAACTATTGGGGAGGATTAGCATGGAAAATATTGGATGTGTAAAAGGACAAAAAAAAAATGTCAATTTGCAATCATTTTGGTAGCTGAGAATTCATTATCATGTAGTTGGTTTTTATTATTATTTGTTGAGAATAATAAAAGCAGCTATATATTATTAAGGCAAAAGTGTTGCAGGTAAGTGTCGGTTGATTGATTCTAATCTTCAGTGAGTTAAGAATAATGATATTCATTCTCACTGGGATGAGCCCCAGTCTACATGGCATTAAATGATGGGCTTCATTAAATGAGTCATTTGACTTTGTATTTAAATGAATATATCATTTAATGTCATGTAAGTACTATATAGACTGGGGTTCAACTCCAATGGTGATGAATATCATTACTTGCTAGTTAATGTTCCTTTTCTACTGGACTCAAAAATCAATGTTGGATGTGGTTGTAGAATTGGTGAAAATGTTATGTTGCTCTTTCAACAGAAGGAATCTTGGCAGGACAACTTAATAGTATGGAATATATGCTTAAGATCTCTAAAGAACAATGCATCCATATGTAAGACAGTAAGAATATGCCCATCAAGTTCTTATTTTTCTTTCCATTGAGAATGATTTCAGGCTTGAGAGTGCTATCCTCTCCAACACGACCATTATAAGAAAAAACACTAGCTAGTTTGTTAATGCCAACTGCAGTTGTTTAATTTTGGTCAAAACTTCACCCGTTCATATGACTGGTTAAACTATCAGAGACCCCTATTAACTCCCGATTTTTTTCCTTTTTCAGAGCCCGTAAAGAGAATAGAACTCTTGCGTCATTAGCTGCTTATATGCATTTCCTGCCTAAGTTGATAAGACTAGAAATTCATGGTCTCTTCATTAGTTTTGGAACTTCAATCTGAATCAAGTTTGAGAAGAAGTAATTTTCCTCATTATAAAACTCTATTATTCTTCTGTATATAGAGTTATTTACGGCAGAACCCGTAACTTCTCCAGCAATTTATTTTAGTAGAATTACAAATAACACATCCTATACCTTTTGAGTTTTCAACAAGTTACTGCTACATACATTTAGCCTCTGTTTGGTAGGGATTTAAATCTAGGTTTTAATTTACGTCAAAGTCAACAATTAATTTGAACTAAGGTTACGTTTGATAAGCCTAATTTTCCAAGGAAACTGGAAAATGAATTTCATTTCTCACTTTTTGACTTGTTTGATGGACAAAATTTGTCATGGAATTGTCTTTCCTTGCTTACGTCGCATAAACTCATTTTCCATGTTTTTAAGAAATTGACTTTCTTATCAAAGTGGTGGGAATCCATTTCTTGGCAAAATGGAATTGCCTTATTTTATTTTATTTTTGGCAATTGGAAAAAATTTTAGACACAATGATAAAAAAGTTTATCATTTTTATTGACAATTTTCATGCAAAATGAAGCCAAATGAATGGTATTTAGTATTATAATTTTATTTTATTTTTTTTGCAACTGGAACAAATTCTAGACCCAATGGTAGAAAAAATTTATCATTTTAATGGACAATTTCCATAAAAAATGAAGTCAAAAACCAAACTTTCAATATTTTTCATATGAAAAATTATACCAATCAAAAACAATTAATTGCAATTCTCAATTAAACAATTTCTAGGTAATTCAATTCTCTGAATTCATTTTCTTTCCACCCATTTTCCACATTCGCAATCAAACGGATCCTTAGTATTTTCAGCAATTTCTATCAAAATCTACTAAAACATTGATTTTAATTCCCACCAAATATGGATTATTAATGTGAGTTCGTTTTGATAGATAACCTCAAATCCATAATACTTAGGCCCTTGGCTACTATAGCATTTATGTAAAGAACAAAAATTGACTGCATTGCTTAATTTTTTCACTCTAAATTACAGTTTGATCGTCAATTGTTGTTTGGAATTTGGAATATATGTACCTGTTATGAATTGAACCTAAATATCCGTAGATGTCAGAAATGCACGGTGCAATTCTGGTTTTGATGGCACAATCATGAGGACAAACCACCCATACTCGCCAGCTGTGTGTAAGTGTTATGTCCTAAATTCAATCAATTTTGGACATAAACACTTTAAATATATATAATTGATGCATTTATGGAAATATCTATTATTTAATTAAATTAATATTCTAATAAATTAAATAATAGAATCCGTAGATTCAAGTCTTGGTGATTTGTTAATCACAAGGAGTTGTGATTGTAAGATATAAATTACATATGACTGAATCTTAAAT